GCGAAGGCGGGGAGGGGAGGGGGGGGCAGTGCAATGTCCTGGGTGAATTTCCTCTGATCGCTGGAAGCCAGTGATGAGTACATTATTTCCCCACCCCACTCAAGCCTCCTCTCCCCCTACCAGAAGTAGCAATTCAGATGGTCGGCGACCCCCTGTTCTTCAGGCTCAAGGCTCTAGAATGCATCCCGTCAGATTGGGGAAGAATTTTCCCTAGGGGTGGTGGACGCACCCCCAACTCATCTTTTTAACTGATGAACGGTCGTGGTGCACTGCCATTGTAATCCAAAGTGCAGAGATAGGGCTCGCTTCTTCGTCCAAAGGATTGCATAGCTCCACTGCGTTGCTCAGGACTGATCGAAAAGCGGTACAACCATATCACCTTATTTTACACAATTGAAGTCTAATCCGGAGCCCGAAACCATACACTCAGACAATAATCTTCTTTGTGAACGCTGTATTTAATTGAGGAACACTTTAGGGAATGAGTTTTTTTAAGCCACCGCATATAACCCTTAAAACTACATACAAAACCCCTGATAGACGGATTGCTGCATGCGATATCCGTTAACGCCATGTCATAGATTGGTGAACCGATCCGTAAGTGGCGTTTATTTTCTCAAAGTAAATTTCTTCATTCCTCTATTTCCCCATGGACGAAAAATGTGTCGAGTCTGAAACTTTAATCAACAGAAATCTGATATATGAAATACTAATATGAATTTTCAGGCAACTTGAACGATGCGACTTCGAGTGTAATCCGTTAAATGGACGTCTACTGAATTCTTGCAATCCCTCCAAAAGTGTTTCTCACTCCTTCTATGTATCTTACATTGCAGCTCTATGAACTCACCGCCGACCCAAAGCGTAAGGAATTTCTGGACGAACTGTTTTCCTTCATGCAAAAAAGAGGTAAGTCAACTGATGCCTCCTGTTGTTGACGCTTATATTTTCTACTGCCATGAGTAAGTAGATTAAAGGCGCGCGTATATATTTGAAGTGACAAAGTAATTAAGAATCGCGCAGATATTACTGGTCGCGCAGCCAGAATGAGAAAGCCAGAAGGGGAGATGGTTCAACACCGAGTGATACATGGTTTTAGCGAAACCAACAGAAGCTCCCTTTTGAGGGCTTACGGAGGCAGGAAGAGTTACCGATATGAGTATCTCTGGTTTATCTGCCGCTCGATGACTGAAGTGTTCCGGTTCGAACCCCAGGTCTCCCCACGTAGCACTGACCTAATGAATTATCATTTCAATTTCCCTGTCTCTTACGAAAATATTCCCCAAATATTTAATGTTGGACGCTGTTTGTTCGCACTTCCAAGAGAAAGCGACAAACTAGTCACCGGTTCTCCAATCCGACCTCATAAACGACCGTTACCCCGCTTGACTCCGACTAAAGCAACGTCATGTAGTTTTGCCAACAGACTTTAAAACCTAAATAATAGGCAGGCTTAGTACTAGCAAAAACTTCGCCGGACATTCATTCAGGTTTTTTTTTCAAACTGTATATTGGAAAGTCAAGCTGAGTGGAAAAACCGGTAGCTGATAATAAATGGATGGCACCTAGCGTACTC